AGGCTATAAATTGCACAGACGATTGTCTGTCTTCATCCCAAGGAGCAACTGGTGGATTTAAACCACCCGAGAGACTTCACCTTTGGGTCAGCAATGTGATTTTCTACAGACTACACCACCAATGGAAAAGATAAGCCCCAGATGGCAAGTATCCATATAAAATATACTAACACATACTGTTGTGTTGTTAGGTTCCATTGAGTCAAATACGTCTCACGGTGACCCTACGAAGAACAGATCTGGACCCTTTCAAGTTGTGTGCCATTGTCATAATCACAACAACATCGTCAAATAACAACAACAACATATTGCATGTGAATATTGGACAAAGAAAAGGAATACCAAATAATCAATGTCTTTGAACTGGAGTGTTAGAAAGACTATTAACTATATAGTGGGGTCCACTTCATAAATAACATGCATCAGGAAATTCTATGAACTTTGATAAATGTCAATAGTTGTAGAAGGGCTTCAGGTCTTTTGTTCATAGGGTCGCTATGAGTTGTGCTCAACTCAAAGGCAATCAACAACAACAAAATGCAAAAAAAAAGAGAGAGAGAAATCTGTCTTAGTAGAAACTCATTGCCAATGGGATGGAACTGACTCACAGTTGACCTCCAGCAAGTTTCCAAGGCTATCAGTCGAATGAAAAGAAATTACCTATCTTTCTCCCAAGGGGAGGCTGGTGCATTCAAACTGTCGGAGGCATGGCTTATAGGTTAGCAGCACAGCATCCTGTGGATATGCCACCCACCAGAATGCCTCATCTTGGGAAAAGTGCAGCCAAAATGCTCCTTAGAAGCTAAGTTAGTGAGGCTTTGTTATCAGGAGGGGCCCTTGGAGAAGGACTGCATGCTTGATAGAGAAGAGGGTTGGTGAGAAAAGAGGAAGACCCTCCAGGAGACGGATTGGTACAGCCGTGGCAGCCACAATGGGCTCCAACAGCAGTCACTGTGCAGGACCGGGCAGTGTTTCATTCCCTTGGCGAGGGAAGCCGAATATCAAATTTATGAAAGCCGAATATCAAATTTACCAATAGTAGACCAAATGCTATATCAGGAAATGAGGGAGGCTTAATATAAGCTGAAGGTCACCTTGTGGCACTAAGGTGTTCCCTAAGAGTCAACATTGTTCTTAGTTTGTATCAACTGAATCCCTCCCTCCTGAAATTAGCATAAAAAGGAACCTGGCCTTATTTGTAAAAGACTTCACCATTATCCTTTGTTTTTGTTTTGTGTGTCCTTATGATTTTACTTTGTTTACCTTCCTTATGATTCTAAATAAATACTCAGAGAAGCATGGCTTGGGGCCTTCAGTCATGGAAACTGTTGGCCCCCTGTTTTTCACACTCTCTGTTCTATATCATTCCTGGCAGTCTGGTTCATTATTAATAATTATAAAAATACTTTACCCTCGGTCTGCAACACCTTGGAGAGACTGGCTGAGTTGAAACTGGAGGGTACCTAATAGCAACAGCTAATCCAAAGGCTGGTTAGAGCCCATCTGACTATGCTTTGGCATAAGGACTGGTGCAATTTGTTTCTGTAAAGATTTGTTACTGTCAGTCGCCCTGGAGTAGATTCAGCTCAGGTGCGCAGAGCAGAACTCTTCCAAAGAGTTTTAGGCTGTGGCCTTTTTGAAGCTGACTGCTGGGCTAATCTTCTGAGATGCCTCTGGATGGATTTTGGCTGCTTGTCCTGTGCTTACAGCAGGGATTCCTCAATAGAGATTGTTGTGTGGGTGCTGTCCAGTTGGCTCTGCCTTATAGTGACCCCTCGTGTGAGCCTTGTCGGCTGTAATCTTTCTGGGCAGAGCCCAAGTCTTTCTCCCAAAGTCCTACTGGGTGAGTATAAACCAGCAGTCTTTCTGTTAGCAGCAGAGCGCTTACCTCTGATGCCACCAAGCATCTTCCCATAACGATCACAGCCAAAGCTATTCTGTAACATACAAGGTGAGAGGAAGTTCTGCTGAGAAATAAGAGGCCAGTGTAAGGCAGGCTTCCTTCACTTGGCTGGCGTCCCTTAAGAGTCAGGGAATGCCAGGTCCTCTGCTATTCACAGGGGACAGGCAGGAGCTTTGTATCAGGGAAGAGGACTGCCAATCTGGCACTTAAAACTGAGTGGAAGGAGACAGGAAATTAACAGTGGTGCAAGTGCTGTGTGGGGCTCCTTCCCTGAGGGTGGTTCTAGTTCAGCTAAAACAGAAATCCCACAAATGGGTGGCTTTAAAAACCATAAATTTATTCTCTCACAGTTGATGAGGCCAGAAGTCCAAATTCATTGCCCTGGCTCGGGGGGGGGGGGAGGGAAACGCTTTCTCTTTCTGTGTCATCTTGTCTGAGGAGTTTCCGAGCAGAGGGTCCCCAGGTCCAAATGACACGCTCTGCTCCCAGCTCTTCTTTCTGTGGTGGTAGCAGGCTCCTCTAATCTCAGCTCGCTCTTTAATCCCTTTTATAGCTCAAAAGAGATTGACCGGGGATACTGCCTAATCCTGTAGATGGTATCCAGCTTCATTAATGTAACTGCCTCTAACTAATCCAGCCTCATTAAGGTCGGAGAGGTGAGGATTTACAACACATAGGATATTTATATCGTCTCACAAAATGGAAAATTACATAAGGCTGAGGATCGTGGCCCAGACAAGGTGACACAGATTTAGGGGAGACACAATTCCCTGAGAAATTGGGGTTCTGGAGAGAGGGTCCTGGTGGGAAGGGGGAGTGACTCAGGAGAAGGACTGAGGCCATGGTCCATGCAGGAATAGGTGTGAGGTTACCAGTTTATACTAAAGGGAAACTCGAGCTGGTTTCTGAAATGCACCTTAGGGAGGGGGTAGGAGAGCAGAGTTCTAGGAGAAGCCACTACTGCTCAGGACAGACGCAGGGTTTCCTTGGCACCTCGGCCTTCCCAGGGTCCAGCCTCCTGTGCTGAGAGTTGGACACCTGGGTGAGAAAAGACAGCTCAGTTCGTGTGGCTGGCCAGGAGATAGGATACCCAGATATGCATCTCCAGGCCCCAAAGATGGCAAGTAGAGGACCAGGAGGAGAGTATACCCCTTGAATTGCTGCCAAGAACAGGGATTCAGCAGCTGGTGGTGTTGCTGGAGGCTGCAGGAAGGAGGACAGGTCCTCAGGTCCAGCTACTGTTAGCCACCCCTGCAGATGGTAACTATCATTCTGGCACAAGAGGCCAGGAGTACCCACAGGTGGGGGAGCACTGAGGTTTGTGTGAAATACCCTCACAGTAGGCTGCAGGTCTGCCCTCGCTGGCCACTCCTTGTCTGCTCACCTATCCTCTCCCAGTGATGCTCACGTCGCCACCTCCCAATGTAGGGTCACTGCCTAGCCTGCTCTAATGCATCGGAGAGTCCTTGAGGTCCAGCAAGGTACAAACCCAGGTTGCCCTGCCTACTGGCCCTGCCCCCCACGTCCGGCATCCTGCTACAGGAACAATTATCTGGATCATCTTTATGGGGCTTAAGCTTGGGTGGGAGCAGATGGGGCGTGCGCTGGGGATTTGGGGCTGGGAGGGGATCCACGCCCCCACCCCCTTGGTCTTTTAAAAAGCTTTCTTGGGCACGGGGCCGGAGTAGAGGCCAGCAGGACAGAGACCAGGGGAGGGGAGTAGGGAGAGTGATGGCCCAGGACAAGAAGGCAGAGGATGGGGGCCTGGCAACCTGCATCCAGGTGAGCGAGCCCCACCCCCACACAGCCTTGGCACTTTCCGGTCTCAGTGGGTGACAAGACTAATTAGCTTGGAGGACACTTAATTAGCAAGCAAGTCTATAGGGACCCCTGACCCAGTTGCTGGTGCTAGTAGGCAGGAGGGTCCACATGCCCAAGGTCAGGGTCTTCTTCAGAATCAACTCTTGGTGATCAGTGGGGTGCTGGGATTTGGGTCTGCCTCCAGGCTGGGCTCCCTAGCCTAGGCTCCAGCTGCCAGGCTGCCCTGGAGTCAGGCATCAATCTAGGACAGGGATGCTGGCCTGGCAGCCTCTCTCTGGAGGGGCACCACGTGGGAGCCACTAGCTGGGCCCCTGGGGCAGGGGCAAGGGCTGGGGCTGGGAAGGAGACGCGGGTCTCATTCACAGTGGCTCCGCGGAGCTTCAGAGCAGCAGCAGGGACCATGGTGAGCATCCAGGTGGAGGGGTGGCTTGGGGTCAGGGTGGGAGCCAGCAGCCAAAAGAGGCACTGGGGAGCCCAGGAGCCCAGGGACCGGCTGGACCATGCATCTGTCTCCAGGCGGGCTCCCCGGACCAGGAAGGTTTCTTCAACCTGCTGAGCCACGTGCAGGGCGGTCGCATGGAGGAGCAGCGCTGCTCACTGCAGGCTGGGCCAGGCCAGGCGACCGAGAACCGTGAGCACGGGCAAGGGCATGCTATCTGGGGTACCGGGCGAGTGGCCACCTTGGGGGGATCTGTCTGGGAAACCTGCAGTGGGGACACAGGTGTCTAAGGTGGGGTGGAGGTGATTCGCACGTAGTGGGGGCTTAGTAGTTAAGCATGTCAGGAAGTGAGCATGCAAGGTGTGTCCTGAAGAATGTGAGTAGGGTGAAGTGGGCCTGAGTTTTCCGGAGTCTGTGTGTCCGTCCCCATGGGCTCCACTCCCTGCAGAGGGTGTTCCCTCGCCTGAGATGGACAGCCTGATGGACATGCTGGCCAGCACCCAGGGCCGCCGCATGGATGACCAGCGTGTGATGATCAGTGCCCTGCCTGGCTTCCAGCCCGTGGGGCCCAAGGTGGGTGAGGTTCCAATGGGGCTGAGGAGAGCATGGCCTGGGTCTAGCCTGTAACTGGGTCTCCCATCACCCAGCCAGGAGAAGACAGAGCCCTTCCCTACCATGTCCCACCTGGGTCTCCTGGGGTAGGTGGCTCTCTGGAGTAGGTAGACGTATCTCTGGGGCAGGCAGAAGTGACTCCATAAAAGTGCCCACCCCGTAGCTCGATTGGTCACAAGAGGCCTCCAACTTCAGATGAGAGGACTGACTGAGAGGTGCCAGGAGTGTAGCAGGTGTGCTGATGCCAGGGCCACGGCTGGGCTTACAACTCTTGCTCCCAAATCTGGGGGTTGTGGGGAGGCCAAAGGGAGACAGCAAGTGCCCCCCCTGGGATGACACCATGGGGTAGAGGTCACAGCAGCTCACATGTGGATGTACCGTGTACATGTGCGTTTATCACACATCCTCGCACACAGCTTGGGATCAGACTCCGGCAGGATCTCCAAGCCCCACCAATTTACATCTCCCATTCGGGGGACAGACAAGCTCAGAGATGGGGGGCAGGGTTGAATGCTGGGAGTAAGACATGGGGTTCCCATGTGTGCCCCCTCCACTCTCAGTTTCTCCTTTGGCCTCCACTGCCCTAGACCCCTCACCCTGATGTATCCTTGCTTCATCCACAGGACGGGACACAGAAAAGATCCGGGACTCTTAGCCCCCAACCTCTCCTCACTCCTCAGGACCCGACCGCTCTCAGCTTCCGCCGGAACAGCAGCCCCCAGCCGCAGACACAGGCCCCCTGAGGGCCTGAGCCATCCCGGGCCCCACTCGGCCCCCGAAAGCAAGAAATAAAACACTTCCACAAGCATTAAGAGTCCGGGTGTGTGTATTAATCTGTGAGCAAGGGATGAGGGGTCAAGAACTTGAGGCTTCAGGAGCTCTGCTGGGCAGATCTAAGGAGCTTCTCCTCTCGTCGCTTCCGTAACCGCTCTTTGAATTCTTCCAGCTGGGGGCCAGAGTGGAGGGTAAGAAGGAAGGGGAGGCATACATCTCAGGGCCTGACCTCTCTCACCACCCTCCTCACTACTTCCAAGGCCAGAGCTTCAGAGTTCAGTGTCCTCAATTACCACCAGATGCCAAAAGGAATGAGAATCATCCCTCAAAGGGAGGCCAATAAGGAAGCCGCCTGGTCCTCTGCCAGAAGCCTGATTGGGGCAGTGGTTAAGGTGCTCAACCACCAACCAAAAAGCTGGCAGTTCGATCCCACCAGCAACTTCAAGGGAGAAAGGTGGAAACCCAATTATGGTCCCGTTCTACCCTGCCCCATAGGGTTACTATGAGTCGGACTTGACCCTGGGCGGTTGTGGCCTTCTATTCTTGGTTCCCTGGTGAGGGTTAGGGGGGTAGTCTTTTCATTTGAGCCCTGTCTCCTCTGTCACTTACCTGACTGTCCTTCTCAGGTGGCCAAAGCTCTCTCTGTGGGGACAAAGTCATAGCTGAGGGCAGGAGCCAGGGGCATCCACTGCCCCATCTACCCGAGCAGGGTCACCTCATGGCCGAGACCATGGTCCCCAAAATGGGAACCCATACCCTGACCCACCCTGAGAGAACCTGCCAAACCACAGGTTGGCCCACCTTGCGCTGTATGACAGAATTCTCAAACCATTCAGCTTGGTTGGCAATCCAGAACATGGCGACTGGGAAAGTGAGATAGATCGTCATCTAGAAAGGCAGGGGGTGGGTGGCAGGGGCTCACGTACATGCGCTTGCATGCACAGTCGTGCGTACACACACACACATCTCCTCATGTAGAATCTAGAAGCACCTCCTTCTCAGGGACTCTCCAAGAACCTAAAGCTCTCCTCAGAGCCTCAAGATCCCTGGAGGGCACCCAGAAGCCGCGAGGAAGAATACTGGCCATCTGTTTCCACTGCCAAGAAAAACCTATGGAGCAGTTCTACGTTCATACATGGGATCCCTCCAAAAATTTCAAAACAAAATTAAAAACCAGTAAAAGTTCAAAGTCTCATTCTCCTAAACTCAGATTCCATGCTCAGGATACTCCATTCCTGGGTGACCACTAAGATTAGTCTTCAGAAGAGTCCCTCTCAAAGATAGACACAGACAGGCAGACCCATACCTCGGCCTCAGGAACACAAGAGCTCCTACAACTTCAGGGATCTCCTAAGACCTCAGAGACAAGACTCCCACTCTCGCCATCAGAGGCTGGGGGCACGCCTAAACCCAAGAGCTCTAGGTCCTCAGATGCCCCCGAAGCTAAAAGTCTCCTGATCAGAAATTGCCGCCTTCTCGCTCCTACGAGACTGACAGCTCTGCCGGGCTCAGAAGCCTTCCTTCTCAGAAGCTCCGCTTCACATAAGACCTTCCTAAGATCCCTCCCCAGCGTCCCACCTCGGAATCTGCAAACATGCAAGTCCCCGTCAAATCAGTGTTCTCTCCCAAGCTGCAGGGACTCTTTTGGAGTCTCACTTTTCAGAGCTTCTTGCTCGGACCCAGAAGGGCTCCCAGCCCAGCCTCCCACACGCTCCCCAGCTCACTGACCCGAAACACCTCCAACTTGACTCCCATCTCGCTTCTCCTGGCCCCAAAGCCGTTTCTGTCCAAAACAAACACGCCAGCAATTCAGGTCGGTCAGGGCGCTTTGAAGTGACGCGATCTTAGGGCGCCTGCTCTCTGCTTCCCGTAGTCGGCGGCGCGTACGGTATTATTTAGCCAATAAGAGAAGGCTTCTGGTCTAGGGGGCGGGCATTCAGCCGGAGACGTCATCAGTGGGCGACTACCGCCTAAATCCGGAGACCCAGGAAGATGGTGGTGATGGCGCGCGTCCCGCGGCCCGAGCGGCCGGACCTAGTCTTTGTGAGTTTTTAGGGGCCAGGAGTGGCCTTTGTGGGGATTTCAGGGTCATTATGTATCAAGGAGTCGGGGCCTGATCGCCAGAGGATCTAGGTCAGAGCTCTGTCTGTCGGAAGCCTCGGGTACCCTCGCAGGCCTAAGGCCAGATCGTAATATCCAGACCCTGACTGTCCGCGGGCAGAGATCTGGTGTCAAGGCCAGATCCACAGCGGTTCTACTGAAGATCTGCAGCCGGTCAAAGTTAAAAGCTTGGAGGCCTGAGCCAGGGCAGAAGTGGGGGCGTGGCAGGTGCAAGCAACGGTTTGTGTAGTTGTATCTTGGGAGTTAAAATCTCAAAGGGTAGACATCTGATTCTTTAGTAGAGTCTTACTGTTCTGCGCAAGGGTCTGGTTCCGCTTGTTTGTATTCTGACCATGAGCATCTGAGTTGGAGTCAGTGGTGGCCAGGAGGATGGAGCAGGTGTTAGCCAGTAAAATCTTAAAGAATGAAAGATCGGTGTTTTAAGACCTGTTGTCTTACTAGACTGCTGTATTAGGGATGGACAGTTGGTGTCTGAGATGTTGTATGCCATTGAATCGGAACCACCCAAGCTGACCCACTGTCCAGCGGGTTTTAGAGGCAATAAATTGCTAAGGAAATGGCCCATCTTTCTCCCTCAGAGCAGGTCGTGGATTAGAATCAGGTGCAGTTGGGTTGACAGCGCAGCTTTTTAGGCCGCTTAGTCTTCCTCTGAGATAAAATTCCGGGACAGAATTCGGCTAGACCCTGACAGGTATGATTCTGAAGAGCCAGCAGCTTGGTGTCCAGAACTGAGCACCTTTGTTAAGGGATAGAATTGCTACCTGGGTCGCCCTGCGAGGGGCCGGCGCGCTGGGTATATTAGGAGACCGCCGACTGTCTGACGCCGCCAGGGAACCGTTGATTTTCCTAGTCCCTCTCTTCCAGCCTCGGTTTGGTGGTCGAGATGGCCCGTGGGGTCAAATGGAAGAGTCAGCCTCTCTTACTAGCTACTAAAAGCCGTAACTCAGCCCATAACTGACGAGCCATTAAAAGAGAAAGACACTAAAAACTGTGAGAAGACCTCCCTGATATCATGCAGACCTGCGCCAAGTAGAGAAGAAACACCAACTAGCCACCAGCAGCTCTTACTTCACCCCACATCAACTAGAAGCATTAACAATATTAAAGGTGACCTATGTTGATAGATGGTGAAAAGATTGAAACTATCAACAACTTCGTCTTGCTTGAATCCACAGTCAACTCCCTTGATACCAGCAGTCAGGAAATCAGGGGACATATTACACTGGGAAAGTCTGCAGTCAGGGACCTCTCTAAATTATTGAGGAGTAAGGAAGACCCTGGATGAGATGGATTGACTCAATGACTGAGGTAATGGGGATAGGTGTGTCAGAGATTAATCGACAACACATAACACCAACAACAGTGATGTCACTTTGAGGATTAAGGTGCCTCTGATTCAGGCCATAGTCTTTCTGATAAATTGTTATGCATCTGAGAGCTGGACAGTGAATAAGGATGACAGAAGAATTGATACCTTTGAGCTGTGATGTTGGAAAAGAACACTGCCAAAAGAACAAACAAGTATGTTTTGGAGAAAGCGTGGCCAGAATGCTCAATGCTCTTTTTATTCAAAGATACTAAAGCTTTGCCTCACATAGTTTGGACATGTTGCTAGGAGAGACTATTCCTTGGTGGAAGGATCCTTGAAAAGTAGAGGGGCCGTAAAGGAGAGGAAGACCTCAACCAGATGGATTGATAACAGTGACTGCTGCAGTGGGCTGAAAAGTGTCAGGAAGTGTGAAGATGGTGCAGGACAGGACTGGGTTCAGATCTGTTGTTCATAGGGTCGCTATGGGTCGTACTCAACTCGATAGCACCTGACAACTAATTACAACACAATCCTGCAGCTTAATTTATTTTGCCGCCAGTAGGGCGCACAGTCTCAGATCTCTTACATAAAGACATATATGGGGGAGCTCCGGTGGCCTAGTAGTAAGGAGCTGCAACTACGATCCCAGAGGTGCACGGTTCGAATCCACCAGATGCTCTGCCAGGGAAGGAGGGACATTCTCCTCCTGTACCAGTCAGATCTGATTTGATGGTACACTCACACAAAAATAATAAAATAAAATAAAAAAAGACCTATATGGTTCTGAGAGTTATATGACAAGAGTAAGATGATTATTCCTCCCAAATCTGTGGGAGCAATAACCAAGGATAGTCCATGAGGAAAAGACACCTGCTAAAACTCCCCAAACAACTCCTGAAGAGGAAATTTTAATTCCTCCTAAAATTCAGAACTTGTACCTTTCTATGTGCCCCCTCCATGAGCACCTGGCTTGGGGATGCCCCAAGTGTGTCTTGGTGGCAGAAGAGCAGTGGGTCTGATGCATCCCTGGCTCCGTGATAAGTGATCAGCATCTCTTTACCATACACCCAGGGAAGCCTTGTGTATTTATGGATGTTGCTGGTAAGAGAATTCGCTGTCTTCTCAACACTGGTGTGAGTTATTCAGTCTTACATTTGTTCACTGGCCTTCTTGCCCTCCACCAACGTACTGTTCAGGGTCGACCTGTAAAGAGACCTCAGACTCCTCCCTCCACTTAACTGTATATGGAATAGCGTATTATTTTCCCATTGATTTCTGGTATACTTAACACCCTGTACTTTATTAGGAAGGGACTTATTATCAAGAGTAAATCCTAAAGTCCTTTTCCCCTAGTGCTTCACCTGGCATTAAGGGATGGTGATTCAGTGCCAGTGAGCCTCGACACACCCCATAGTTAAAGGGTATAGATCCAGATGTTTGGGCTGATGGCCGACCTTGAATAGCTCGCAGAGATATCCTAAGAAAAGCATCATCTTTCTCCTGACAAGGCCTAATGTCCATCATTAAGCAATTAAAGGAAACAGGAGTGGTGTTGGAGAAATCTTATCACACTCCTGTCTTGTCAGTCCAGAAGCCAAAAGTAGATTGGTCCAAGACTTCAGAGCCCTCATTGAAATTATACTTCCCCTGCGTCCGCTGGTACCCAATCCCTACATTCTCCTAACCCGAGTCCCCTTAGTGTCTAACTGTTTCTCAGTATTAGGCTTGAAGGATGCATCCTTTACTGTACCTCTCCACTCTGACTCTCAGCCTTTATTTGCTTTTGAGTGGACTGACCCAGTGACTCAAAAGACCAGTCACTATCTGTAGTGAAGCAGAAAGATAGTGGGATTGATGCCAAGTTCTTTAAAAGGAAAAGAGAGTGGTTTTATTTTTAAAATAGTAGGTCCCAGAACATTTGATTGTACTAATGCGAAACTTATACTTGGACCAAGAGGCAGTTGTCAGAACAGAGCAAGGAGACACTACATGGTTCAAAATCAAGAAGGGGGGGTTCATCAGGGATGTATTCTGTCTCCATACCTTTTCAATCTGTATG